AGACGGGAAGAAGAAAAAGAGATGAAGGAGGAAGAAGAAAAGCAAAAGGAAGAATAGGAAGAAATGCAATTGATAAAGGAGGTAGCAGGAAGGATGCACAAGAGGAAGAGAGGAAGGGGAAAAGGATGTAGAGGAGGTGGAGGAGGAGAATCAAAGGATGAAGAGGAGGAGGAAAGAGAGAAGAAAAAGGGTGGTGGGAAGGAAGAGGGAACGAGAGAGATAATGATATCCTGTATAATAACGGTCTCTATAAAATCTTGCTTCTTGTCCCACACAATTACACATAAAAAGAGGATGAGAGAAGAGAGAGAGAGAGAGAGCGAGAGAAGAGAGAGAGAGAATAAATTAGGGAAAAAGGGGAGATTTAGGGAAAATGAGGAAAAATACTGTTGTGGTTTGTGATAGGATATCGTCTATTGAAGAGAGAGAATAAGAAAGATACAGGTTTATGGATAAGTTTTGAAGAAGAAGAAAAATGGTGAAGTATATGAGACTGGATTTGTGAAATGTTTGCTGAATTTCCTTCTTTTTTTTTCTTCTTTTTTTTTATTCCTCTTCCAGTTTGGTTTATTTTTCTTTGTCCTTTGCTCTTTGCTTTCTCATTCTTTACTCTTTCCTATTCTTTAATATTTCCTTTCCCATTCTTTACTCTTTCCTTTATCATCATTTACGCTTTACTTTATCATTCTCTCTTTTTTTCCCTGATATTTTCCTATCAAACTTGATTTCTTGTTATTTGCTCAGAATCTCACGGACACCATGAGTTGTGATTCTTATAGATACAAACTTACATAAAACCTTTCTATTTATGCGGACAATACCCTTCCCCCGAGTCATGACTTTTAATTATGCAAATGGACGCGATGTTTTGTATCATCCTTGCAATACGCAATTTGCAAGTAAGATTCTGCCCTTTGTCCCTCTTCCTTGCAGTCGGCGGGCTTCGCGATCTCTCTTTACGAGGCTTCTGAAGCTTCGTTTGAGGCTTCATAGTATGGGTGTGTTGTTGCGGTTGGGTGTGTTGACTTTTGTTGTTGTTGTTATTATTATTATTGTTATTATTATTATTATTATTATTATTATTATCATTATTATGATCATTATTATCATTATTATCAGTATTACCATTATTATTATTATTATTATCATCATTATTATTATTATTATTATTACTATTATAATTATTATCATTATTACTATTATTACCATCATTATTATTATTATTATTATTATTATCATTATTATGATCATTATTATCATTATTATCAGTATTACCATTATTATTATTATTATTATCATCATTATTATTATTATTATTATTACTATTATAATTATTATCATTATTACTATTATTACCATCATTATTATTATTATTATTATTATTATTATTATGATCAGTATTATCATTATTATCACTATTACCCTTACTATTATTATCATTATCATTATTATCACTATTATCATTATTACCATCATCATCATTATTATTATTATTACTATTATTATTATCATTATTATTATTATTATTATTATTATTATTATTATTGGTGGGGTGTTGGTGGTTCGTACATACCCTTATTATTCGTGAAGATCTTTTTTTTTTTTTTTTTCGTGGGGAGTTGGTGGTTAATAAATGGTATTCGCGAAGGAATTCTTTTCTTTCGTCACGTGGAGTTGCGGAATTTAGTAAATACACGAAAAGGAAAATGTATATGCCAACACGTGCGACTATTCAGTTTTTCATAGCTCATTGACGGTCTTTTTTTTTTCTTTTCTTTTCTTTTCTTTTTCTTTGTTTTTTTTTGTTTTTTTATTCTCATTCTGAGTCTTATTCTTGTTCTTTTCCTGCGCCTTCTTTTTCTTCTTCATTGTCTTCTTTTTCTTTTTCTTTTCCTTTCTATTTCTATTTCTCTTTCTATTCTCTTTTTCGTTTTCTCCTCCTCCTCCTCCTCCTTCTCCTCTTCCTGTTCCTCCTCCTCTTCTTCCTCCTCCCCCTCCCAACCTCCTCCTTCTCCTCCTCCTCCCTTTCCTCCACTTCCTCCGTTTTCTTCTCTTTCTTCTCCTTCTCCTCCTCCTCCTCCTCCTCCTTTTTCTTCTCTTTCTTCTCCTTCTCCTCCTCCTCCTTTTTCTTCTCTCTCTTCTTATTCCTCTTCCTTTTTTCTTGGTTTCTTATTTTTCATTCTTTTTATTCTTTTTCTTCCTGTTATTATTCTCCTCCCCTTCCTCCTCCTCTTCTTCTCCTTCTTCTTCTTCTCCTTCTCCTTCTTCTTCTTTCTTACCTGCCATATGACGATTCCGTGTCATTTATCTGCCTCAGTGGCTTTTTTTACACCAGCTGTCAGTCTTCGCTTGACACGGTGCCATCTCCCGCAATTTTCATGCAGTGTCTTTTATCTTCTAAGCCACGTGTCTTGCAAGGAAACGTGGAACTTGAAGGAACGTTTGAACTGCGGAACGTGATGCGGCAGTGACCAGTTCCTTTCCACTTTGAATTTCCTAGGAATCAGGGTTGTTGCCATTACCGCGGATGGTATGAATGCGATGTTCGAGCCATGACTTCGGCGTTGATTTGAGTTTGTAGTTCATGATTAGCTGGTTATCGTGAGGTAAGGATGTATATAGAAGTGTGAAGAAGTAATAGATTTGCTGGATTTAACTAAAGTGCAGATGTTGTTATGGTTAATAAATAAGTATTACAGGTATCTTAATCCGTAGTCTAGGCTCCGTCATCGCATTCGCACGGTTTGCGGTAATGGCGGTAGCTAAGGTAATCATTCAAAGCTACGGTGGCTGCAATGGACATAGCATGTTGCAAACCACGGACTTTGCATTTTATCAATTGCTGCCTCTGTTTTCTCGTCACTTTGCAACGTGGTTTGTTTATCAATCGTCGAGAAAGACTTTTAGTTTGAAAGACAGAAAGGATTTTTTTTTTTTACTAATTTTATCCACGTGATGGCGTTTTGTTCTATAATTCACTATTTTCACTATTTGATGTGAAGTTCTATGAGTGACTATATCCACATCACAATCACACTCTACAGAAAACCACAATCTAAACAGTCACAAGAGACCCTCCAAAACCACAAAATTATTTATTATCATCATTATTATTATTATCACCATCATCATCATCATCACCTATGTCAGTCCGGAGTGGCGTCTCAGAGCTCCACTGTGCCATCTGTTATGACACCCGCACACCTTATATAATTTGTAGACGCCCATTCCTCTGCCAAGTATGAGTGCATGAATCTACCAAGTGGCAGTCCCAGATCCCTGTAAAAAAAACTACCTTGTTATAAACGGCCTCGCACTTCACTTAAAAAAAAAGAATGTAAGCTTAAGCATCAGATGAAGCATAATACTTCCTTAATGAGGGTAATTAGTCACCCTTGCGGCTGTTAACCAGTAATTAGGGTGCGCCATCCGTCAGGGCCTTCTGCGAGGGGCGATGTACAGACCTGGGGGGGAGAGGGGGAGGGGCTGACGGTGATAATTAAGGAGGCGCCCCGGGCATCGATCACGTGATCAAGCACTCGCCATCGCCCCTCCTCAACACGTTAATTGTCTGTTGAGTTTTGTTTCTCTTTCTCTCTCTCTCTCGCTCTCTATCGCTCTCTATCGCTCTCTCTCTCTCTCGCTCTCTCTCTCGCTCTCTCTCTCTCTCTCTCTCTCTCGCTCTCTCTCTCTCTCTCTCGCTCTCTCTCTCTCGCTCTCTCTCTCTCTCTCTCTCTCTCTCTCTCTCTCTCTCTCTCTCTCTCTCTCTCTCTCTCTCTTCCTTTCTTACTATTTTTATCTTTCTGTTTCTCTCGTTATCTTATTTTCTTCCCCCTCTTCCTTTTTTTGACGTATTTTTTTATATAGAGGAAGATCTGTTGCCAAAACGTGTCACAGTTACCTCAAACCATTATATTTCATATATAATATCTTAGAAAATTGTACTTCACCTTTTCAGTAAACTGTTATCGCATTTTATTCAGGTAAAACGACCCGATGCTACGTCTAGGTTAAGCCGTTTCTATATAAACTTTCAACGAGATTCTGTGCAATGAGAACGCAACCGTGCAATATCTACTCACATCACCACTCGCCCTTTCTCCCTCAATCCTCAATGCCCCTCGAACTAGAATCTGCTTAAACTCGAGGCTATTAGTCCTTCGTCGAGTTATTACTCCACCTCTCGCCCCCCTGTTTCGCTCGCCCTCAAGGCCAATGTAAGTAAGGCTTTATGTACATTCTCCTATCCATTGTCTCCCGCGTCGTCGATATGTGAATTAGTTCGTCTCTCATAACGAAAGCTGAGATTCGGTTTCATGTGTGTGTGTATGGGTAATGGTATTTTGTAAATTGGTGTAGGGGTTTATGTGTACGTGGAGAAATGTGTGTGTGTGTGTGGGGGGGGGGGGGGGGGTGTAAGGGTGTGTGTTCATATGTTATCTATCGACATCTGTCAATTTTATCAACCTATCTAGATTATCTATTGACTAAACTATTGATATGCAGAATGTGTGTGTGTGTCTTTATAAATATCTCTATATATTTACATGTAGGTATGTTTTCAAGCCACCATTACTACTTGACATTATTAAAGGTAATGTATACAATAGTTTAAGGAAGTCCAAGTAAACTTATACACAGACAAATAAGCAATACATATAGTGAAACAGTAATGATAGTGATGATAATTATGAAATAAGTATAACATATACTTATAATGAAATAAGTATAACAAACAAAGATGAAAAATTATGAAATGATATAAAAAACAAATCGAGAACCCCCTTCACCCAGAGAGAGAGGGGGAGAGAGAAAGAGAGGGAGGGGGAAAGAGAGAGAGAGAAAGAATGAAAGAGAGAGAGAAAAAAAGAGAGAGAGAGAGTGAAAGAAAGAGAAAGAAAGAGAGGGAGAGAGAGAGAGAGAGAGAAACACACAAACATCCACGACCATTAATCCCAACCTAAACTAACGCCCTTTTCTGTTTTTTTTCGCTCCTGCAGGCGGGATGACCGCGGGGCTGCAGATAACAGGTATCCAGGTCCCCCCCACCGTCATCAGCGGGGACCAAGTGCGCCTGACCTGTTCATTCGAGTTCAACGGCGACAAACTCTACTCTCTCACCTGGTGGAAGGACGAACAGCTGTTTTTCAAGTACCTGCCGATTAACAACATGAAGACGGTGTACGAGACGCCGGGGATTACCGTGGATGTGAGTATGATGGGGGAGGTGGGAGGGAGGAGGGAGGGGGGGAGGGAGGGTTGGAGGGAAGGGGTGGGTGAGGTAGGGAGGGTTTGAGTGAGGGGGGGAGGGCAAGGGAGGTGGCAAGAATAAGAGGGAGAGAATAAGAGATAAGGGAAGAGTAAGAGTAAGAGACAATAAAAAAATAGATAAAGAGTGGAGCAAGAGACAAGAACAAGCATATAAAAAAATAAAAAATAGATAAAAAAAAATGAATAAATAAAAACAAAAACAAAGGTAAGGTAAAACAGAAAATAAACACAGGAGACAAAACCACGAAGTGAGAATGAAGCAAGAGTGAGGAAAACCGCCTTTAATTCAGGACGTGAGAACCAGCAGCTTATGAACAAGGCACAGGCATCCTAGCAACCTGGCACTGCCCATGAATGCCTGAGGTTAGTGCCAATATTGCATTTCCTTCCTCGTGGCACAATTTCGCCTCCTCACGCCTGATATGTGTTCTTAATCTTTTTATTATTATTATTATTATTATCTTCGTTATTACTTTTGTTATCATTGATGATTGATGATTTTTTTCCTGTTTTTTTTTTATTATCAGAATTCTTTAATTGACAGCAATATTGTTTATTTGGATAATGTTGTTGGTTTTATCGTTTTCAATCATTTTGGTACCATTAATAACATGAGAGAGAGAGAGATAGGTGAGAGATGGAAAGAGAAAAACTATCTATCTATCTGTCTTTCTATTTACCTCTATCTCTATCCATCCATCTATCTCTCCTCTCTTTTTTTTTTGTTCTTCATTCTCTCTCTCTCTCTCTCTCTCTCTCTCTCTCTCTCTCTCTCTCTCTCTCTCTCTCTCTCTCTCTCTCTCTCTCTCTCTCTATTTCTCTCTCTATCTATCTATCTATCTATCTATCTATCTATCTCTCTTTCTTTCTCTCTCTCGTTCTCTCTTATTCTCTCTCTCTCTCTCTCTCTCTCTCTCTCTCTCTCTCTCTCTCTCTCTCTCTCTCTCTCTCTCTCTCTCTCTCTCTCTCTCTCTTTCCATTTTCTTGCATTTTTCGTCCCGCCCTTATTACTATTCTTACAGTCCCCCCTTTCCGTTTTTTTAAATCTCCCTTGCCAATATTTTTTTCCCGTTTTCTTTGCTTGTAAAGTATCGTTTTCTATATTCTTGTTTCCATTTTTTTTTTTAGGTCTTTTTTGGAAGAGAAGGGAAGGGAGAAGAAGAGATGATGATAATTTCTTTGTTTTTCCTTTTTTCTATATTTTTTTGTTTTCGTTGTTTTCTTCCTTTTTTAATCGTTTGGGATTTTTTTCTTCCATTTTCTTTTATTCTTCCCATTTTCTTCCTTTGTGTATTCTCTCTTTTTCTTTTTCCTCGTCTTTTGCTATCGTCTTTCGTGTTCTTTTTCTGTGTATTCTTCTTTGTCAAATTTTCTTTCTCTGCTTCTGTTTATCTTTTTTTATTTATCTTGCTTCTTTCGTTCTGTTGCTGGTTTCTTCTTCTTCTTCTTCTTGTCCTTCACCTTTTTTTCATTTTTCTCTCCTCCTCTTCATTCTCATCGTTATGCTTATCATCATCCTTGTCATTCTTATTCTTATTCTTATTCTTATTCCTCCCTCCCTCCCTCCCTCCCTCCTCCTCCTCCTCCTCTTCCTCCTCCTCCTCCTCCTCCTCCTCCTCCTCCTCTTCCTCCTCCTCCCCTCCTCCTCCCCTCCTCCTCCCTCCTCCACCCTCCTTCTCCTCCTCCTCCCTTTACCTCCTCCTCCTATTCCTTTTCCTCCTCCTCCCATTCCTTCTCCTCCTCCTATTCCTCCCCCTCCTCCTCCTCCTCCTCCTCCTCCTCCTCCTCCTCCTCCTCTTCCCAGTCCTCCTCCTCCCTCCTCCTCCTCCTCCTCCTCCTCCTCCTCCTCCTCCTCCTCCTCCTCCTCCTCCTCCTCCTCCTCCTCTTCCCAGTCCTCCTCCTCCCTCCTCCTCCTCCTCCTCCTCCTCCTCCTCCTCTTCTTCCCAGTCCT